AGAGAGAGAGAGAGATGCCGTATAAATTATTAAGTGCAGCGCGAGAGATTTACTAATGATTTCATGCGCACTCTAATGGCACCGTTTACCATAGCATCCGCGCGCACCAAAGTGGCACACTCTCCTAAGATATTCACGTCAGAGCGCGCAAAGGGGGTTAATGACCCCGCCATTGAGCAAGAAAGTGACGGGAACGTATTCCGCGTATTAGGAATCGATCGACCGGTTTTTGTAATCGCCGTTCGTTCCATTCACACGCGAGTCAATAACTTGCATTATTATCGACCGCCATCCGGACCGGAATAATAACGTTCGCGTCTGGTCTGACTCTCTCTCAGGCGTCTCTCTCTGTTCGCTGGCGATTTCATCATTTTCATCCGCGACGTGCAAGTACGGCACGCTGACACGAAATCCCTACAGGCTTACCCGCCAATTACTATGATCTGAGCCAGAAATACAACAGATCGAATTCCCCGAGGCGGAAACAGATTTTAATTAAAAATTTCCCTGATACGCGCCCGTTTAGCCGGGAGCATTAAATGTCCTTGGGGAAACTTTCATTGTTCAGTTTGTTGAAAGCGCGTAATTAGATCCTCATTTTATTATATATTATATATTGTTGAGTCACTTTCTGAATGAGTATATCTTGAGACGCGTCAATTTACAGTCACTAAAATAATGATCTTTACACACAAAAGCCGTTACGAATACTCTTTCTAAAACGATTAAAAGGGATTGTCCGAGGTAACTATTAAAATACTTTGTTACACATATGCATACTTGAATACGCAATAATATTTAAATTAGTATATTTAGTATCCTTTCGTGACGAAGTTAATTTAATATAATTTTTAAAATTCATAAGTTTCTACATTTTCAATAAAATTACCGTATTATTTCCAGTAAGAAGAGAAATTCTATATCATTTTACGTGAGAGAGAGAGAGAGAGAGAGAGAGAGAGAGAGAGAGAGAGAGAGAGAGAGAGAGAGAGAGAGAGAGAGAGAGAGAGAGAGAGAGAGAGAGGAGAGGGGCAGGACGACGCCGCGGCACGTTGGGTCGATCTGTTTTTCCGACGTTTGTCGAACTATCCCTCTTTCTTTCTCCTCCCTTTTTCTACGGTATTTTTTACACGGGTTGGCAGTTCATACACTGTACGTGACATCGCCGTGATATACGTTATCCGGCGTGGCGAGCGAATAGTGATAGCGTAGTGAAAAGCTGGCGCACCTTTTACCAGCTAGCGGGCTCAAAAAAGTTTATTATTCGTTAGCGATCCCGATGACCTCCGGGCTGAATCCAGGATACGGATATGCGACTCGCTTACAGCGACCGAGCGAGCGAAAATTTACAAACGTGCGTTGACCCACTTGTCGCGGCTGGTCGATGAAATTCGATTCTACGATCGCGCATCAGGCTTTCGACGCGCTTTACACGTCGGCCGCGCATTAATCGAATCTAACAGCGGCGGCAGAAAATATGGCGATCGTATAAAACGACAGTATCAGCGAAAGATTGATGGAGTTACGTTTCTACGCGAATCAATTTCTACTCAAAATCGATCGGCTTTGAAATATATTTGGCCAGAAACGTAAACGATAGGATCGAAACATATAATATCGCGAGTGTCGTGAAAAAGTACCGGACGCAGACTTTTGTCGTCCGCGGACTTTTGGCATTACGATTGTGTGCAGTGGAAACAAAAGTTTTAGCCAAATCCAAATCAAAGTGTAACTTCTATTTTTGACTTTAGTTTTAAGTTTTTTTTTGTTCGAATTGAGCTCGTACTTGTCGCATCTGAAATAGGCGAAAAATTTCTTCGAAAGAAACAATTACTTATTTTAGAGTTCGAAACAGGAGTTTTTCGACTTCTACTTTCAGCAGAATTTACGATTTAAATGCAAATTAATAATCAAAAGAAGTTCGGTCAAAACAGATGTAAAAATTTTAATTAAGGTCGAAAGTAGAGAAAATCTCAATACGTTATATATATTCTATATTTTCAAAATGAAATTTTTAAAATGAGAAATTTAAGATAAGAATGTGTGTGTGTGTGTGTGTGTGTGTGTGTGTGTGTGTGTGTGTGTGTGTGTGTGTGTGTGTGTGTGTGTGTGTGTGTGTGTGTGTGTGTGTGTGTGTCTCCGCTTGATGTTAATTATATTGGTAGTATATTAATGTCAAACGCATTCCTGATAGTCGAATTATGTAACAAGTATTTCGATTTTCCACATAAATACATTGACACTGGCGTGATAGGTGGTACACGCGCGATAAAATATTCACGCGAAATGTTTCACGATACGTCACGTAAACGTACGCAATGTTGCGAAGTTCACTAATTTAAATTTTACTCCGTGTGATTTATGATCCGTGAATGACGATCAATTAAAAGATACATTCGTGAAATCATTGAGAAACTCGATACGAAATTTACTCCTGCTATTGACCTTAGTTTTATGAATATAGATTATGACATTTTATATGAATTGAATTCCTACTTTATGTGTGAAATAAGTAATAAATAAGTAATTTTTTACTTTGAGATTTAAAAGAGAAGTTTTCAGCTATCTTCATTAGCATACTGAATTCTAAATAAGAGTTGTAGATGTTAAGTAATATCAAAAGAAATTGATCTGACTAATTGGAGTATCAAAACAGTTGTAAAAATTATAATTCGAAAGTAGAAGAAAAGTTTCTACACGGGAATAAATTGGGTTATGGTTATGCATTTCTTGCAACAGATCGCCTAGCTAATTTGCATGGCAATGTTTGAAAGGTAATTTTTAAAATTTTACGATCAATATGATTATGAATCGAGCAATAAATGCATGATAATATGGCAACATTATCAGAATATATATATACATATAGCATAATTTTTCTGATAATTAAATAGCATATTAGTCGTTAATAATAATACTATGTAGCTAATAATAATTTTCACATTCAAGATTAAATGTTATAAATATTGTAAATTCTTATTTTTTATTTGTTATAGCACGAGATTTTTAGATCTTCGTATATTAAAAATTATTTTAATAAACAAACGTGAGCTTATAAAAAATATTTTATTGTTGATTCATAAATATAATCTGATGTTAGTAGAAATGAAAACGTTAGATGTTAGGTGCAATCTAAAAATTACAACAAGTAATGTCGAAACAAATATCGCTTACCAAGATCACAAATAAAAAAGTATTTCAAGGCTCAAGGATATTCCAATAATCGTATTACCCTGAACCAGTATTCGCGTCGTGATAATAATACATGAGGTCATGACCGATTGGAATCTCGATAAACCTTCGTGCCATTTTCCCTTTCTTTTTTTCTCTTTTCTATCAAGGTGTTAATTCCCACCGGACGACGAATGGAAGGCGCCAATTTATTAAAATTATCAGTCGAACGTCAAACCAAAAACTTATCTTTGATATTTTATTCGCATTTCAATCGCGGAATAATTTTATAAAAACGCACTGATTGATTACTATAACATTTCTTACGTCCACCGACGACTTACGACGCGTCCATACGTCGCTCTGGACGCTGTCGGTGATGAACAGTTGCGTACTCACTTGTGCGAATCTCCGGCTGGTCGGACACGCTCTCACGGCGAGTATCCACAGGAATCACCACGATCAATGAATTAGATCAGTTGCGTTATCGATCAATCAGCGGACCGATCAGCTTGCGACTCACTACGCTCTCGCGCGTGACTCAAAAGTCCGATCCGATCTGAATCGATCGTGAGAGGATCGCCAGAGCCGCTACGTTTTACTGCCTCACATTTACTACTACGGACTAGCACATACTGGCTGACCGTCGGTCTGCGAGAAGGAGCCCTCTCTCTCTCTCTCCTACT